CAGCTTTTTGAGTTCCTTAAACCTAAATATCTGAGAAAGTGCATGCAACCTGTCAGCTCACAGGTGTGCTGGGCTGGCAGAGGCGACATGGCCAGTTCTTAGTGGGGGGCGGAGGGGAGGGGCCCGGGCTGTTACTTGGTATGGCTCCAGTATGTGTTCACATAGTTAATATGTGGTAGAACTGGGGTTCCAGAGTCAGCCAGCCCCCATGCTCCTACCCAGCTAGCATTGCCTTCAATACTTGTAAGCCACCAACATGTTTCTGATGGTGCTCTGTGGCTTCCCTTGTGAAACACATTCATCAGCAAGCAAGCAGAAGTGTCTAGGAGAAAACCCATGTTCTGCTCTAATGCACTAAGAACAAAGAAGGAAGCAAGATGCTCCAGAGCTACAGGTCTATTATGACAGGCAAGACAGATGAAGGGCTCACGAGCCTTCCAGGAGTTTTGGCCTCTCATCTACAACTAACATCTTTCTACCAAACAGAAGGCAGAGAAAAAGGACACAGCCCACTGTCTATATGGAAGAATTAATTCTCTGCACAACTTCTCAGAGCTGTTCCAGGGCTTTCCCATCTGGCCTTACAGATTGCTTGGTTTAAAATTCACGGCTAATGCTGTCATTCACCATTGCATATCCCATAGGTCAGTCTAGAAGCTCCGGACGAGCCCCAGGGCAGCAGCTCTGCTATTCTGGCTTGCATCAAGTGCTACCTGAGGTAATGCACCTCACTTCCCCCTAACTCCTGGTTATGTGTTGAGAGACTCAAGACTGAGTTACCCTCTCTCTGGGTGTTTCTGACCGACCAGGCCATTTTCTGTTGTTTGGGTGGTATGGAGGATGTAATCCAGAAACTCAAAGATAGGCAACTTCTCAAGCCCCAGAAACATTTACTCAAGATTAGAGACCATATCACTACTTGTTTTACAAAGCCTGTATGTGGGCCAGTGAGATGACTCAGTGGGTATTGTCACTAGCCTGAGGACCAGACCTGTCCAATCCCTCACATTGTACCGTGACACATGCATGCATACGGTCAATAGATGTAGTAAAAATTTGATCGGAGAGGGGAAAACATGATTAAAGCATATTGTAAAATTTTTTTCAAGGAGTTTAAAAAAATTTAAGCCTGTTTTAAATCTACTGAGATATGACTTCCACAAAATAGTGTATTTCAGAAGCCATTTTTGACAAGATCTCATTCTATAGTCCAGTCTGGCCTTACAGGCATGTACTACCATGCCTAGCACACGGGAGTAGCTTCTGACAATGTTTGCAGCACATGAACATTACCACTCAAGGTACAGAAATCTTCTAATCCCTAAAAGGCTCACTGTTCAGCATTTAGTCCTAGGCAAAGCTTAGAGGCTACTTCTGCCTGTTCTTGTTCACATGAAAAGAACTGTCTAGTGTCCCTCTGCTGGGTCTGGCTCCTTCAGCTGTGTATATTAAGTTACTCATTGCTACTTATATTAACAATTATTTCTCTTGTGTGGATGTATCACAATTTGTCTGATTTCTAATTGATGGATATTTCAAATATTTGTAGTTTGGGGTTACTATGAACTTAACTGCTACATGCGTTCAAATACAAACCTATGTGGGCCCAAGTTTTCGTTTCCCTGGGTACAAAGATTGCAACTGAACTGTGGGTGGGAAGAAGGACATGCCTGATCTACATTAGCTGCTGAGCCTCCTTGGCTGAAGCAGCTGTCCCATTTTCAGGCCCGCTGGCAGTTCCAGGTGCTCATCGTCTCCACTAGCACTGTTGCCTTTTTCCTGGGGTCATTCCAGTGGGTGTGCAGTGTGCCTCATGACTGATGATGACCTTGGGCACTTTGTGTGTGTATACACAGGTGATCACTTCCTTTGTGTGATTCTGATAATGTTCAGAGATTAAATCTTGAGAAATCTTGCTTAAAATACCCATGTATGGGGGCTGGAGAGAAGGCTCAGGTTAAGAGGACACTGGCTGTTCTTCCAGAGGTCCTGAGTTCAATTGTCAGCAACCACATGGTGGCTCACAGCCATCTATAATGGGATCTGGTGCCCTCTTCTGGTGTGCAGCTGTACATTCAGGCAGAATACTGTATATATAATAAGTCTTTAAAAAAAAAAATTCTTTCCAGTCCATACAATTTCCCAGTTTCTCTACTTTTATCCTTATGTTGGGGCAAGGTCTTTCTATTGTAGTACAGGTTGGCCTCAAAATATTTGCAATTCTCCTGCCTCCCATGTGTGGATTACAGGCATAAGCCACCATGTCCAACTAGAAAACAATCTCTTTAGATCTAATTAGAATATAAACATGGTTACTGGCTAATTTTGGTGCCTGTCCTGGATATCTCGCTCTGTAGACCAGACTGGCCTTGAACTCAGAGATCTGCCTGGCTCTACCTACCGAGTGCTAGGATGAAAGGTGTGCACCACCACAAACCTTGCCTAAGGTTCAAAAGCTGCCCAGGCTGGTTGGTATTCACCTTGAAATCCTCCCGCCTTGGACTCCCAACTAGCTTGGATTATGGGAGTGGTCCCAGGTTCTGGCATCTCGCATCTTGTCCCATATTCTGGATCTTTGTTTAACTGATCGGGTCTGCCCCAATGTCTGGCTTTCAGCCTAACTCCTATTACACTAGCTATTGAAATTAGGCTGATCCTCAGACATGGTTGTAGTAGCCAAACAACCAGCTCATTTGCTGCTACATCTTGAGAACATGCAGACAAGGCAAAGCTCAGAAATGTCTCTGGCCCTGGCACTGCTCACTGATAGAGCTTCTAACTCTACCAACAGAAATGCTTTTCTCTAAGCCCTCACCACCTATTTTAACTTCCAAAGACAACTACTGTCTCAAACAACAGGGGAAAGAAGAAAAAAAAATATTCACGAGACTTTGTGTTGTTTCACTAGTATCCTAAGAAATACTTTCACCAGGTGTGGTGGTACATGGCTATCACCCTTAATTTGAGCAGTCAAGACTAGAGAACCAGGAGTTCAGGGTCATCTCTGACAATGAGTTGGAGGTCAGCCTGGCCTCAAAAGATGGGGAGAAGAACCTGGATCAGGTAAGAAGGCACTTGCTTTTTGTTTTGTTTTGTTTTTCGAGACAGGGTTTCTCTGTGTAGCTTTGGAGCCTGTCCTGGAACTCACTCTGTAGCCCAGGTTGACCTAGAACTCAGAGATCCACCTGCCTCGGCCTCCCGAGTGCTAGGATTAAAGGCGTGCGCCGCCACTGCCCGGCTGGCACTTGCTTTTTAAGTGCATGAGAACCTAAGTTCAACCCCGAGCAAAAAGTCAAGCATGGTAGTTCATGCTTGTAATTCCTGTGCTGGGATACAAAGGGCTCACTGTCCAGAAAATCTAACCTCATTTGTGAGCTCCAGGTCAATAAGACCCTGCCTCAAAGGAGATTACAGCATTCCTCTAAATTATACCCTTCAAAAAAGAAAAAGAAAAAAAAACCAGGCAGAATCAAATCATGATGCAAATGGCTTTAAGTTCTCAAGTTTATCTCAAACTGGACTTGAACCTGTGCCAAGCCCTCCTGCCTCAGCTCCCCAGTGCTGGGATTATAAACAAGTGGAAACCTTCATACTCAGCTTGTTTTGAAAATAAATTAAGGCAATTTAGCAATGTTATAGCACATAAGACCCTGACCAAGGGGGGGGGTGTTATTTAAGAAACTCACAAGAGCAGCTGATTACCAGATGGAGGGATGTGTTTCAATGGTTTATAAGTTTACCCACAACAGCAGATTGTCTACCTCAGCAAGCTGTATTTTTTTCAGCTGTGAAATATTTTCATTATTGTTTTTCAAGACAGGATTTCTCTGTGTAGTCCTGACTGTCCTGAAACTTGAGCTGTAGACCAGGCTGGCCTCAAACACACAGATCTGCTGCCTCTGCCTCCCTTGTAATGGGATTAAAAGCATTTGATACCATGCCTGCTTCTTAAAACATTATTTCTAATTCTCACCATCTACAATCCAGGGCTAAACCTAAAGTATATGTGATTTATGTAAATTAGGATTTGTGAAAAATAGTGTAGGCCACTAGGATGCAATACATATAAACAAAGCATTCTTGGCAACCACAAAACTGGGCCTCAATGAAGACAGGTCTCTCTCAAGATTTACTTATTATGTATACAGTGTCCTGCCTGCATCCCCACAGGCCAGAAGAGGGCACCTGAATACATTACAGATGGTTGTGAGCCACCATGTGGTTGCTAGGAACTGAACTCATGACCTCTGGAAGAGCAGCCAGTGCTCTTAACCTCTGAGCCATCTCTTCGGCCCCAGAAGATAGGTCTCTTGATTAAACTACATGACCTTGTGGAAGGAAATACAGCTGCGAAGCGTTCACTTGATAAATTGGAAACTTCAGTACCCCCGATCTGATCTTAAACTTGTGATCCCCGTGCCTCAGCCTCACAAGTGCTTAAGCACTGGGACAACAGGCATATTCCACCATGCTTTTGTTCCTTTTTGCTGTTTAAAAAAATTTTAAGCCACACCTGGTGGACTGTGCCTATATAGTTCCAACACTTAGGAGGTTGAGGCAGAAGTTTGCAATTCAAGGCCAGTCAAGAATACCTAGCAAGATCTCATCTCTAAAACTCAGAACAATCTAGTATCACATAGATGGGCACAAAGGGCCAAATTACTATCACCAAATTTTGGGAACTGCCCTGCCTCCAAAAAAGGTTTTTGAAAAGTGATCTAAACTGGGTTTGGTCGTACACATCTATAATCTTGGCACTGAGGCAAAGGCACAGGGTCAGGAGTTTAAAGTCAGTCTCAGCTACAGAGTGAATTCTAGGTCAGCTTGGACTACATGAGACCACACCCTTAGGCCGCAAAAAGTGATCTTATATATACAATATTACTAGTTAATATATTTTTTTTCCTATATTCTAGAAGGACAAAAGGTATTTGTTAACTACTAGGTAATTATTAGCAGGCAATTAGCTCTTTAATGCAGAAACTGTTGGTTTCATTATATTGGTTACATATTGATTTTATTCAGGCTTGTCAATTAAGAAATACAAACAAGAGACTCTTAGTTACTTCTACAGGTCCAATCTTTCCTTACAGAAGCTGTTAAACACAGCTCTGAAGTAGTGGAGTATAGCCAGCAAGAGAATTGGGTGGAGCAACAGTTCATCTGAAATCCACAATTCTATATTTCCTTCCTTTGGTGCCTTGTACAGTAAGGCACTGTTAAGGATGTTACAGAATAGAGGAAAATACCACAGCAAATAGTTCTAGTGACAACTTACTAAACAAGGTACAGTGTAATGATGGTGGTGATGATTGTTTCTTCTCATTTTATTATTATTTTTTACAATAAGAGTAAAGATAGCCTTTATACTCCACACTCACACACAAAATAAAACAAGTGCTTATTATGAAACAGTCCCTGCCCCATCCCCCTCAATATACTGAACATAGCAATTTAGTAGAACAGAAAAATCAAGACAAGTCTGATTTCAAATTTTCAATAAAAAAGCAAAAGTAATGAAACAGCTGTTCAACTTCCAACTCTTATTTGGCCCAAACAAAAGAGCCCTGTATATGTTTCTCCAGCACACAATCCCGTAGAACTGCTCAACTGTAATCAACTAGGAACTGAGGTGACCAGAACCTTAGAACACAAGTTATATTGCTTCCCTGCCCCTTTTCTCTTACAGTTGGAGGCACAGGTATTGGGAGATACAAAAGTCAAAGGAAGAAGAATTATAAAGAAAAATTCCCCAAAGCTGCTGCTGTTTGGAATACAAAGGAAGACAGTATTTTACAAATGTTCAAAAACTGCAAGCATTAACACAATTCATTCACTATCACTCCTACTTGAAAGACTAGAGATCAGTGTCTTATTATATAAAACTGTACTGTACTTTACGTTCAGAATTGTAGTATAGGTTCACCAGAAACTATGGATGTAGTTTAGGCTTTATCAAGGAAAACAGGTTCAGTTCAGATCATTAGATACTAAATATGTATTCATCTAGCCTGGATCAGTATCTAGAAGTGTCACCCTGAAGAACTGTAAACTAGACAACAGCAGGTTAGCTCCACAGGAAGCTTAAGGACTGAAGGTATGTATATACAGAGCTAATTAGATCTCCCCTGCTTCCCGCTCTTCAGAGCTCCTCCTGTCTTCTGATCTGCCATTAGCGCTCTCATAGGACCGCTTCTTATCTTTTCGATCTCGGTCACGAGGTGATCTGTCTCTTGAACTCCTGTCTCTGTCACGGGATGCTAAGTCTTGGTCTCTGAATCTTTCTTTTGAGGATCTGAAAAATATTAATTTAAGGAGCAAAATATGTTGGGACACCCAAAATCCAATGAAAGAATAGGATCAATATTAAGTTTCTCATAGCTGAAGAAATAGATTAGAACACATCTGAGAAGAGTGTCTGACAGAAAAAAGCACTACAATAGTGGATTGGGGGGGGGGAGCACCAAAACAACATTGGTGGCAACAAAGAGCTACAGGTAAAGAAGCCTAAATTAAACATGACCTATAAATAGTCTTTAGTATTTTGGAGATAACCATGAAGTTTCTCCAATTAATAAAGAGACATTTAATATAAAAATAATGTATAGGTAATATTTAGCTTTTAAAAGTGAAAAGTATCAGATTCCAAATTGGATTGAAATCAATGAATTAGTACAGAGGTCTTATCCTTTGGGCCAAATGGGCTGACAATAAGGATTTGAAGTGTTATAAATCACACACAATCTCAGGATGTAAGCGTCTTTTCTATCAACTTTGAAACTGTAAAAATGCAGAACCATCCATAGCTTGCTGGCTGTACAAAAACAGGCTCCAGCCACATTTGTTCTATAGGCAGCACTTTGCAAACCTAGGTAACAGAATTACTCAATACTATGGCTTTAAATAACCATTTGCTAATCCAAAAATCTGCTTTACTTGAGTGAATTCATTAAAACCAAAATAGAAGGTATCAAAAACTGATTATACCATAATAAAATATGAACTGCTCCTAATACTACTATCTCTATTCTCATACCCATCTTCAAAAAAAGGTACATAAACAAAACACCCTCGTATCAGAAATGCAAATTGAAAAAAACCAACAAAAAACGCAAAGACATTACATAGGATCTAACTATATTGGTTAGCATAGAATATACACTTTCAACACCTATAATGAATTAACAACAAATATTACATTTATTTTGTTCTTTACAGGTGATACAGAATGTTTATACATAATTTATCTCAACCAAGGTTTAAAATTATGATCAGAGGCACTGCCAAGTCCTACATAATACTTTTTTTGTTAAGAGTTGGGAGTTTAAAAATGCTACTAGCCCTGAAAAAGCAATACTTTCAGAAAAACATAAGGCAAGATAAAAATACTACTGTAACCAGTTTTAAAAATATAGATAAGGAGAACATTGTAGTTTAGATATAAAACAGTTCAAAAGGCTCATGTACTGTTGACTTGAAACTGGTGGGTGGTGCTACAGAAAACTGATGAGGTCATGAAGCTGGTACAATCAATGAATTAACCCACTCTAAGTTGATAACTAACCAGCCATTATGAGGTGGATTCTGGCAGGACGAAACAAGTCAAAAGAGGAGAATCTTACTCTATCTTGTGCCTAACACCTTGTTCTCTCTTTCTTCTGCCAAAAGGTGAACCACTTGACTCCATTACAGGCTACCTGCCCTGGCATTCTGGTTCACCAGGCATGGGCCCAGAAGCAATTCAAAAGTGGCCATGAACTGAAATCTCAGAAAACCTGAGATAAAAAAATCCTTTCATAAATTGTTTTCAAGTGCTTTGTCATAATACAAAGATATGGTAACACAGATGATTAAAATAAAGGTTTGAAAAATTAACACCAATTTAGAGCATACTACTTGAGATTTTATAAGCCTTTTCCCCCTTTTGTTTTGTTTTCTGAGTCAAGGTCTTTCTCCCTAGCCCAAACTGGCCTTAATTTGTGGCAAGCCTCCTGACTCAGCCCTAGAGTCTTACTTAGCATTACAGGAGCTCTTGCTTAATAAGCATTTAAAAAATAATATTAAGCATATTCACATTCCAAGTCTACACAAGCCATCTCCAAAGCCTCTATGAATGATGATAGAAATGATCAATAGAACAATGACATTAGATGCTGGCAAGTCCCTGAGGTCAGTGATAGTAACTGAAAAGTAAAGATAGGAATTTATGTTTGTACAAGATCACAAATACTCTACATGCAGACAGTTTCTTATGTGTTGCTAATGAAAGCCTAATAAGCCAAATATTCCTATTAACTATTTAATGAAACAGAGAAAAACAACAGGATATAATTAAATTATTGGGCAACGACTACCTGACAGAACACCCGAAAAAGCACAAGGTTGCTGAAGGTCTTCACTGACCTGTGGGAACTGTTGCCAAGACAAGGTTCATATAGATAACTCACTTGTAGCAGAGACCAGTACTTCACAGCAAGGGCAATAAAACAGCAAAATGTCAAGACTTTTCAATGGACTCTCTTTACCATCAAAAACTAAACTCACATATATACCAATAATTTGATGTTTTATATATATGAAATAACAAGTAACAACTACTTGCTTTTTTGTTAAAAACAATGTTGTTTTAAAAGTAATTTGAATTCCAAGATATGAAATACTCTTGAAAAAGCAAAATTTTAATAGTTTTACAAAAATAATCCTCTTTTGAACATGCTGAGTATGGTGGGAAGTTTTCCTATATAAATAAACTTCACAAGTGCAGGAAGCATCAAGATGACACAATGATAGGACACGACTCCCCACCCGTCCCTCCCATTTCCACCACCAATAGACATGTAAGATCAACACCAAAAAAATGACAGCTGGGCAGGTCAACACAGAATCATCTAGATCCTTTACCACCTAGCTACACAATTCTCAGATTAGTGTGCAGATTTCAAATCATCAAGATCATTAAGAAAATGTTTATTTCTGAACACTGCACTGAGGACAGCCTCTAAATTCCAGTTTCAAAATGTGAGAAAGAGACCTACAGGTATTTTCCTACTTGTTTAATTACAACCATTTATTCAAGACTGAACCATTATCTGAAACCATTTTTAAAAATCATTATGAAATTTTCACTATCTAGATTTATATAATTTGCCCTATGATATCCAGTTTAGCTCTTTATAATCTGTGGTCAAGTATGTTCCCACACAGAAAATGCCTTATAGCATCATGAATATGGTTGTTTACATACACTATTATTTCTTTGCTACTTTTAAAACTAAGCCTAGCACAGAAGAAAGTTAAATAATTCTTAAAGCCAGGCACAGTGTTATACGCCTATAATCCCAGCACTCAAGAGGAAGCTGAGAAAAAAGGATTATGAATCTGAGGCCAGTTTGGGCTACATAAGACCTTGTCTCCCCGACCATTCCCCCCAAATTACCCACCCCCAAAAAAACTAGTTAGAATCACTTCAAGGGCTACTTAGAACAAGGACAGAAATATATCAAATAAAATATTGATTGGAAGCCTATTATGATTTCAGAGAATGGGTAATTCAGCCTAAAACAAAGATTCTGCCAGCTCTCTGTGGATTCAACTATGAACTTTTATGTGGAGTAAGCCACAGAAAGCCTAAGACTAGTCACTAGGCACACTCGAAGTGTTTCTCCTACATAAACCTAAGCATGGTTGTTGAGGGAAAAAGTAATTTTAAGAATAATTTATGTTCCATAGGATTATCATGTGACCTGAGTTTTGGGAGTTTAACAGCTCCACTACATTCTAACCCTTAGTCTGCTCTCATTGCATATTTTGAGGTTTCCTGCTATACTAAGAAGTGCTGTAGCTTCTCAAAACTCAGAATCTTCCCATCACACTAAAGATGAACACAAAAATGTATGTTTTTATACTGCAGATTAAACAACATAGTAGAATATGTTTGCTCTTTAGAAGTGCACCAGCTCCAAGTTTGGAAAACAGGCAAACAAAGCTAAATAATTCTTTTAATGAAAGGACTTCACAGAGCCCCTAATTTGTTAATACATATTGGAAAAACAAACAAAAATCCCCAAAACCTCATGAGTACCTAAAATTATTTGCCTGTAAAGTAGGTTTATCAGCATCCCTCCCACCTCCCCAACATCCCAAATAAAGAAAAGCAATAACCTCTGCACATACTGGCTCCAATTTCTCACTCTGGCTCACACGGAACTCTGCATGAACTACCCATACAATCAGAAAAAATGCATACACCTACAACTGAGTACATATCAATTCCAGGTGCAAGTTTCAAACCAATAATCTAAGCATAAGTAACATAAGTAAACAAAAGGCTAGACATAAAGGTAGCTCCTCATCCTCTGATCGGCACTTCAGTACCTCCTCTTGGATCGCTCTCTGCTCCTATCTCTAGAGCTGTGTCGACTTCTCTGGTGGCTGCGGCTGCGGCTTCGGCTACTGGAACGGGACCTGTGGCGATGTCGTTTCTCCCGAGACTTGGATCGAGTCCTCCTCTTGCGTTCTCGTGACATGGAGCGAGATCGGTGTCTGCGATGCTCTCTGGATCTAGATCTACATGAAAATAATTTATTTCACTGTTAGTGCTACAAGTTTTTCTTTAAGAAGAAGCTGGTTTCCTTTTTTTCCTTTTTCAGTGATGTGTGGCCAGGAAATGATGATGTGTGCCTTTAAACCCAGCACTTGGGAGGCAGAGGCAGGCAGATCTGAGTTCAAGGATAGCCTACAGTCTGATCTACAGAGTGAGTTCTAGGATAGCCAGAGTAACACAGAGAAACCCTGTCTTGAAAAAAACAAAACAAAACAAAATACCAAACAAACAAAGTGATGTATGTACTCATGGGCATATCACAGGACATAAGGAGAGATTAGAGGACAAACTTTTGTTGAGTCTCTCTCCACAATGTGAATCCCAGGAAATGAACTCAGGTTATCAGGCTAGGTGGCAGGTACTTTAACCAACTGGGCCATCTTGCCAAGACTGCGAAGTTAACTCTTCAGTTCAGATTTCAATTCTATTCTAAACAAACTACATGAACAATGGAAATACACTGCTAGTATATTAATGACTAGATACTAGAACTTCAAAATAAAAAAACTACAGCACCAATTCCCAGAAATACCAATACTGTATAAATTTATGTCAGTTAACTAGGGATTTAGTGAAAGGGGGATATAATATAGAAATGACAAGAGGATGGATCATTGAATCTACTTTTAAACAATTACTGATCTCAGATATTTTACATTGGTATGGATCTTTGTATACTGATACAAATTTAGGGTTATTTTTGTCATACTGTGTATGTTTCTACTCTTTTTTAAAGTACTGTACTCTATGCAGTTCATTTTAAAAGGTTATGTAAAGTTTTGGTCTTTGAAAGCTATTTAGGATATTAAAGAAATACAGGTTAGTAGTTATTCATCTCTAACAATCAAACTTAAAGTTATGTTACAAATGTTTTCAAGGTCAAACAGACATATATTTTAAATAGATGGTCTTCAAACACTGCAAAGATCTGTTTTAATAACATAAGGCTTTTCACAACAATGAGACACATCTGCTCCTGGCAGCACCCATCTACTTCATAAAAAGATGATGAGCGCCGGGTGGTGGCGCACGCCATTATTCCCAGCACTCGGAGACAGAGGCAGGTGGATCTCTGTGAGTTAGAGGCCATTCTGGTCTACAGAGTGAAGTCCAGGAAAGGCGCAAAGCAACACAGAGAAACCCTGTCTCAAAACAAACAAACAAACAAACAAAAAAAAAAAAAAAAAAAAAAAAGAAGAAGAAGAATGATGAGCATAGAAGAACCTCCATATAGTTTGCTTTCTTTGTGACAAAATTGCCTTTGCCTAGACTGCTGACAGTATGCTGCTCAAACTGGACAAGCAGGACACAATAGGAAGTGAATAACAAACTTTGCCAAGACAAGCTAAGACAGTCCTTCAAAATTCCTGCAGGCCAAAGATGGATGCCTCAATGTTACAGAGGAACCTTGGGTGACTGTACAGGTAGCCAGATGTCTCTGTCATTTCTATAGTTTTGGAAGTTGTTTGCTCTACACTATCTGATGACTCAAGTACTATTTTATCCTTTTCGGGTGTCTAATGGAGTTGAAGACAAGACAGTTATAGTTACAGATTTCTTTGTTACCTAATTTAAAAAAACGAAAACCAAAAAACTTACCAAAGAGATGTAAAATATATAGGTTGAGAAACATAAAAGCTTAAGTTGTTTATCTAAAAAGATGTTTTAAGATCTAAAAAGATATTTTCAGGATGGCAATACAAGTTATGATATAAAAAAAAAAAAAACGGTTTAGGTATAAAAGTTTGGAACATGTAATTCTTAATTTCTCCCCCCGGAGCTGAGAACCAAACCCAGGGCCTTGCATTCTACCATTGAGCTAAATCCCCAACCCCTGGAATGTGTAATTCTTAATCTGATAATTGTTCTTATTGAATATAATTTTATTGTGTTAAGAGTTAAAACCTTTCCTTTTTATTTAGACAAAAAGGGGGAAATGTGGAATCATCTTTTTGTACACCGTGAAGATGTATCACTCTGACTGGTTTAATAAAAAGCTATAGATAGGCAGGATTTCCAGTCACAGAGGACACTGGGAAGAAGGGGCAGAAATAAGGGAACACAGAGGAACTAGGAAAGCAGGATGAGCAGTACAGAGGTGAGGTAAACAAGCCTAGGGTGGCACGTAGATTAATAGAAATGGGTTAATTTAAGTTATGAGAGCTAGCTAAAAACAAGCCTAAGCTATTGGTCAAGCTTTCATAATTAGTAAGTCTCCATGTGGTTATTTGGGCGCTGGCAGGCGGGACAGAAATAAACTCACTACAACTGTTGCTCAGTGATACAAAACTTGCTTAACACCCAAGGAGCTAATAGGATCCACCCCTACTATTAGACAGAAAAAAAAAAAGCTAAATGGCTAAAAGATAGAGAGTGGATCTCAGCACACACCTATAAACCCAGCTGAGGGCAGAGGAAGAAGGGTTGGCTGATAAAACACAAACCCCAGATTCAGACAATACCAAAGCACACTTCTGACCTTCACACCACACATACATACACACATACTCACACATACACAGGTACAAGCAAAACACATACACACATAAAAATAGTAATAAAAAAAGATTAATCAGGGGAAATTGTGGTGGCACATTGAATTTGAGGCCAGCCAGGACTACATACACATAGTGAGACTCTAAAAAAGCTGTATCAGGGGCTGGAGAGATGGCTTAGCTGTTAAGAGCACAGGCTGCTCTTCCAAAGGTCCTTATGAGTTTAATATCCAACAACCAGATGGTAGCTCACAAACATCTATAATAGGATCTAATACCCTCGTCTGGCATTCAGGCATACAAGTAGACAAAGCACTCATACTTAAATTTTTTTTTTAAAGCTGTATCAGGAATATGAAAGAAAAACAAAGGCAACAATCAGTATTACCACTTCACCTCAATTTTTAGATTTTTTTTTTGCATACTTAAGAAATATAGGGGGGGGGGCTAAAGAGATGGCTCAACAATACATGCTGCTCTTCTAAAACCGAGTTCAATTCCCAACATGTATATGAGGAGGCTTACAATCACTTATAATTCTAGTTCCAGGGAACCTAACATGCTTTTCTGGCTTCCAAGGCCATTCCCTCTACACACATGGCACATACTCACAAATAAAAATAAATCTTACAAAACCACCACCACCAAAAAAACCAAGCCCTGCCCACCAAAAAACAAAAACAAAAACAAAAACAAGGAAAGAAATTAAATGTATCAGATGCGTATGAAATAAAGAAGGAATGATAATAAAGAATATTTATGGATAAACCATCCTTTATTTGAATTATATTTTGACCACTGAATTTTTGAATGCCCATAGTAAGCCAAAAATTACAATGTAAACAAATATAATTTGGGCATTTTACCAAAACACGTATGTGTGTGGTGATGTATGTGTGTGTGTGATGAGGATGGACATAGCATGGAAAGAACAGAAACGTGAGGGAACACAAGAAGATGAAAAGTATACTGTTTGTTTAAAGTCACTTTAAGAGTGAGAGAAGGGGTGATGTGGGTGATGCATGTCTGTAATCTCAGCATTGAGGTAGAGGAAGTAAGAAGATTGTAAGTTCATGGGCAGCCTAGGACACTATAGCACATGTCAAAAATACAAAAAAAACAAAAACATCAAAATGTTTTAGGCTGGATTGTGTTGATATTTTTGCAAACAGCTCCTCACAAACATAAAATGGACAAATCTTATGGCATATAAATTGTACCTCAAAAGTATGGTTAAAAACGTTTCAAATTACCATAATGTTATTTTCTCATAACTTCAAAAGTGTAATAATTGTGTGATAGTTTGTTTTTAAATTAATATTTTTGGGCTTTTTGTTTTTTAATTTGATAATCTCACCATGTACCAGGCTGGTCTTGGACTCTCAGAGATCTGCCTGCCTCTGGCTCCCAAGTGCTGAAACTGAAGGTGTAAGCTACCACACCTGGCTACAGAAGAATTTTCATTAAAAAAAAAAATATATATATATATATATATATATACACACACACACACACACACATATATGTATATGTATATATATTCATTTCATTTGTATGTGTAGGAGTGCTTTGCTTGAATGTCTGTGCACTATATGCATGCCTGGTATACACCAAGGTCAAGAGAGCACTGGATCCCCAATAGCTGGAATTAGGGACTGCTATGATCTGCCATGTGGTTGTTGGGAATAGAAGCTGGGTCTTCTACAAGAACAAATGCCCTTAAGAACTGAGTCATCTCTCTATCTCCTATAGAAGAATTTTAAAAACACTTAGCTCCAGTCTGTATTATAGTCAAATAAAGGTACATATTATACACTTCATGTCTAACCACAATTAAATAGTTTCTTCAACTAAACACAGTTATTTCTCATATAGCCAATGGTGGCCTCAAACTTGCTCTGTGTAGCTGTGGATGACCTTGATTTGAACTCCTGGATCTCCTGCTTCTGCCTCTTGAGCACTGGAATTACAGGCAAATACTGAGGTTATAGGAATGTGCTATGACACCTGGCTTTGAAGAACATGTTTCTAAAAAGGGACATAGGAAGGCTGTCTATCTGTCTGCCCATACATCCATCATGAGAGAAAGGTCAACCTATTTACCTATGTATCTGTCAGTCTGTCTGTATCTCTCTACCTACCTACCTACCTATCTCATGAGATGAAAAAGCAACAGGAATGATGGTACATGTCTTAATTGGCACTTGGGAGGGACAGAGAGGCAGACTGCTATGAGTCTGAGATTCATCTTGTCTACATGAGACCAGACCAGACAGGGCTACACAGTGACACACTGTCTCCAAAGTAAAACAGAGATTAGAGAAGTGGCTTAATGATGGAGAGCACTGGCTGCTCTCAAAGAAAACCCAGGTTCAATTCCTAACACCAACACGGTGGCTCACAACCATTTGTAATTCCAGTTCTGTAATCTGGACACCCTTTTCTAAATTCCATGGGTACTAGGCATACACGTGGTACACATACATACAGACAGACAAAATAATCTAAAAGAAAAATTAAATAAAAATCTACTCAAAAGAAGTTTATCAAATGGTATTTTTAACCACTCATTTTGACCTAGTTAACCTATTTCATCTAATATATAATTTAATGCAACTTTAAAATGTCTAGATAATAATTATTCATGCAAAATATACTTACTAGGTACGTAGCCCATTGCACCTTTTTAGTTACAAGGGAAAAGGAATATTAAAATAAAATCAAGTCCCTGAACTGTTGGAGATTATAATCTAGAAACAAGTCTCTAGAGATCTACCTCTAGTAAAAAAAAATAAGTAAATGGAGAAACGGGTAGGAATAGTTTACATAATGCAGGCAGAAAAGGATTTTCTGACAGGATGGCATATGAGCAAAGACTGAAAAAAAAAGAAGCAAATCAGCCACCATAGTGAATAGCACCCAGGTATAAAGTCCTGGAATGAGAGCAAGTTCAACATGCTGAAGGCACAACAGAAGAAACCTGCGTGGCTACAATGAAATGAGTAAAGAAAAGCAACACTACAGTTTGACAAACATGAAGATCAGTATTTTATCATTCAAACCAGGAAACTCTAAGGGGTGTATTACACAAAGTGAATGGGGGAAGTATTATTGCGTGACAACAAATATAAACAACTATCTCAAGGTACGTCACATACATAGACACTCCACTAAGGATACAGTGCCAGATGTAGTGGTACACAGCTGTAATCTCATTGTTAAGGAATATAGAGGTAGGAGGATAATGAATTCAAGCAAGACCCTGCCTGGAAAAAAAAACAATTAACTAGTTATGTTGACACATGCCTGTAATCCTTCCTAACAGTGCCAGAAGACAAACTGGAGCCAAGCAGGGCTACACAGTCTCAAAAACAAAACCAAACAAAACCCACACAGTAACAACAAAATCCCCAGCTAGCTGGCAAACCTATTTGTATTTCCAACATGTATGTTAAGACATTGTCTCTTAAATGGACCACTCAAATTGATTTATTTTTTTCAAACTGACTTTAAAAAATAAATCCTGGGCTGGAAAGATGGCTCAGCAGTTAAGAGCACTGGCTGCTCTTCCAGACAACCCTGGTTCAATACCCAGCCTTACATGAACAGCTCACAACTATGTGTAACTCCAAGATCTGACACCTCACATAGACATACATGCAGGTAAAACACCACATAAAATAAAAATTAAAAAAAAATTCTGTCATATATTTACTGAATTTCTAGAAGATTCTTAAAGAAATAGCTCAGCTGTCTGTAGGTGCCATGTCAGGCTGAGAAGGTGGCAAAAGAAGCCCCTGAAACAGCCCAAGGAGCAGGCCAAGGAGATAGACAAGGAAGATAAGGCTTTCAAGCAGAAACAGAAAGAGCAGAAGACCTGGGTAGTAGTAGTAGTAGTGGTAGTGGTAGTAGTGGTGGTGGTGGTGGTGGTGGTGGTGGTGGCGGTGGCGGTGGCGGTGGCAGCGGCAGTGGCAGAGGCGGAGGCGGCGGCAGTGGCGCACGCCTTTAATCCCAGCACTTGGGAAGCAGAGGCAGGCGGATCTCTGTGAGTTTGAGACTAGCCTGGTCTACAGAAAACCAAAAAACCTGTCTCAAAAAACCAAAAGAGCAGAAGAAACTTGGGGAGCTAAAAGCCAAGACCATGGGGAATGGACCCCTGGCCACAAGTGGAAATAAGAAATCTGGTAAAAATTAAGAGATTCCTCATATTTGAGATGATGGTGACCCTCTTCCATTCTTATTTAAACATATGGATTCCCTTCCATAACATCTTTGCCACCTACAGCAAGAATGAAGTGTTATCCCGGATGCTGTTGTATATTGTAATAAACTTTTGCAGTAAATACATAAGTAATACAAAGGCTCATCGTCTCTAGTACTCAGCAATTGCTAGCTCAGCTGTAAATTTAAAGTAAACCCAGTCTGAAATCCTACCAGAGCCTGCAGTTTCGTCTTTGTAGGACTCTGAATTCTCTATCACTTTGAATTAAACCAATTCATTTAAGGAAAAACAAAGAAAGAAAAAAGCTCAAATCTGAACTAGCAAAAAGTCAATGATAACTTTTCTTTCCAAGACAGGGTTTCTCTGTGTAGCTCTGGCTGTTCTGCAACTCACTCTGTAGACCAGGCTGGCCTTGAACTCAGAGTCACACCTGGCGTCTGCCTCCCAAGTGCTGGGAATAAAGGTGTGTGCCTCCACTGCTAACTCAGTCAGTAATAATTTATTGATCTCACTGAAATTGGCAAGATATATAACCTAAAAACCACACATTTAAAAAACACAGCTTCACTATTTTATCCATCTTCTACAGTACCTACCTTTTGGGATTCTTGCTATGTGAGCGGGACCTAAAAAAAGAATATCTACTTTTAGAGAAATGACTATATAAAGTTTTTATGCTGGCACAATATGCTGGTAAATGACATTCTTCTTGAGTTCTGACTTTCACTTCTATAAAAACAAGTCATGTACTTGTGGATCCTCATCACCTCCCAGCAAAAAAAACTCTATAGAATTCTGCTTAGAAAAAAGTATGTACTTAGAAAAGAATATACTTCTGGAGACTGAAACTATGTGCTTATCACAAAAACAATTCTTCAGAAACCATTTCCTGAACGAGAACAACAACAGAAAAAAACAAATAACAACAACAACCAAGGCTTTTTTGTTATCCATTTACATGAATTATATTCTTTAAAAAATTATTTGTGTGTGTGTGTGTGTGTGTGTGTGTGTGTGTGTGTGTGTGTGTGTACGTACGTACGTACATACGTACACATGTGAATCTGGGTGTGCATGACTCAGGCTAGATGCATTGGATCCCCTGGAACTGGAGTCATAGGAAATTGATATTTACCTAATGTGTATGTATGCTGGCAACTGGACTCAGGTCCTCTGGAAGAGCAATACATGTTCTTAATCACTAAACTATCTCTCCAGTCTCAAAATTATTATATTCCTTTTTTTAAACGTGTGTGTTTGTCTGCATGTGTGTATGCTATGTGTGTATGTTAACCATGTGCGAGTCTGAAGTCAGAAGAGGCTGGATCCCCAGAACTGGAGATATGGATACCTGTGAGCCACCATGTGGGTGTTGCTTTTAAATTGCCAAGCCATCTCTCCAACTTCCAAATGATCCAGCCCCAGATTATAATCTTATATAACTAACTCCTTACATTTGCCAGTACAGTGATAGTACTCAATAAACAAACAATTCCAAACACTTCAGGGGTGCATATATAATAGCAAATATGTTTTAAATTATGATTTGAGTTGTATTAACTATGGTTCTATCCATTCACTGTCTGTGCAACCAGGGGAAAGTTATATATCCTCCCTTAGTTTAATCTATCATTTGAAAGACAGAAATAGCAATATAAATGTCATTAGGTATAAAATGTCCCCCAAAAGTTAATGTGCTGATGATCTGGTCACCAACTGGTATATCTAATCGTCCAGAGCTAACTGGATCATAAGGGCTATTATCCAATCAATGGATAATAATCTACAATTTTTTTAAATGTGTGCATGTATACTCCATGCACGTGGATACCTGTGGAAGCCAGAAGGTGTTGGATCCCATGGAGCTGGGAGTTACAAGCAGTTGTTAACAGATCAATGTGGCTGATGGGAACTGAAAATTTTCCTAGAAGAGGGGCAAGCACCCTTAGCCATCTCTCCAGCCCCTAATGACAGATTCGTAATTTGATGGTACTGTTAGGTTATAGAAATCAGTAGGTGAGACCTAGTTCAAAGAAATGGGTTCTTTGAAGGGAAGATCTTACGTCTGGACCTGTCCTGTCAACTTATTGTGTTTGCCAACCTTGCAGTAAGCAGCTTTTCTCTACCATGACCCTTTGTATCTTTCAGTCATCATGATGTTCTGCCTTAACCACAGGCCCACAGCAATGGAGCCAGTAGACCAGGTGCTAAAACTTCTGAATCCATGAGTCAAAATAAATCTTTCTTCTTTTAAACTGTTTCTCAAGTATTTTCTGACAACAATGAAAACCTAATACAGATCAGATAAACTAAGGCAAATTTCTTAACACAGAGCCTGGCATATAGCTAGCTAGTAAATGACATAATTTTTAGTTGACTATATCAGGAGAGACTACAAACCAGCTTGTGTAATTTTACACTGTTTTATAACTTTATTTTATGAACATATTTACAGTACTTCCTCAATTTCACAGCATTTAAAGGAGAAAACTGCTTCGACTTTGTTTTGTTCTGAGGCAGTCTTACACTGCAGGCCAGGCTGGCTTTGAACTAGATATTCTAATGAATGCTAAGATTAGAGATATGAACCACCACACTTGCTTTGTTTGTTTTTGGGGGATGAGGACTCACTATGTAACTTAGGCTGGTTCCAAACTCTATATAGCCTAATCTAGCCTCAAGGCTGCGGGTCCTTCTACTTCAGATTCCTGTGTGCTGGGATTACAGGTATGCACCACCATGCCACCACATTCATCCAAGAGGGTTATACTTTGCAATCAAAAGGAGTAAGAGGTGATGGACTTTCTCACCATCTACAAATATTACAGTCGTATAACAAAAAAAAATATGAGGTAGCCAGGTGGTGGTGGTGGTACTAGGGAGGCAGAGGCTGGTGGATCTCTATGAATTTGAGGCCAGCCTGGTCTACAGAGCAAGTTGTAGGACAGCCAGGACTACACAGAGAAACACTGTCTCAAAAAACAAAACAAAAATAAAAATAAAAAACAAAAAATGAGATCGTTTGACTATGTCAGTTCAAACTTAAATTGATAATTCCAACACTATATAAAATGCTTATCTACACTATTCTAAATAATGCAATATTGTACAACATCCTTAGAAAAAACAGCCTAGGACTAAGCATAGTGACAGACTGCTTAAAATCTCTGCACTCAGGCAGTTGGCCTGGGTTACACAAGACCTAGGTTTAACAACCAAATAAGCTAGATATGGTGGTATGTACACTTTAAAGAGGCAAGCGGCTCTCTTTGAGTTCAAGGCCAGTCTGTTCTATAGAGGTCTAGAACAGCTAGGGATACACAGAGACCTTGTCTCAATAATAATAATTAATAATAATAATAATAATAATAAAGCAAAGCAACAGGAGACTTTGTCTCAATAAGGTGAAAGACAAGAACCAATTCCAGAAAACTTCCTCTGACTTACACACACACACACACACACACACACACACACACACACACACACACAAGAGGTACTGACACCGCCACCCCCAACAAACAGAAAAAAACTTGGGGGGGAGCACATAACCTCATACACTAAAAACAAAGAGGTTAAGTCCTGAAATAAAACTTGTTAAATGGAAAACACAGGGAGAAATGGTGAAGGGGGTGAGACAGTTAAGAAAAGTAGAAAAAGAATTTCTCAAGACAGATGACACAGCACTGTACTGTTTTGTCCTTAAAATTAAAAAAGGCTGCCAACTAAAAGCCCATGAAATGGCTCAGTAAAAAGCATGGTGGCCTGAGTTCAGCTCCCATAGTGCAAGTCCTGACCTCCACTTGTGCAGTGTGACACATGGTGCGTGCCATGTGTATGAGCAAGTGCACGCATGCACACACAGCTATGTAACACAAAATAAAGTTCACCTAAACTGAGAATAATATGCTCAGAGCTTCTGAGTTACCATGATCAATAATTAATTATCTTAGGGACTTACAGTATCTCAGAGAGAAGGTACTTCAATTCCAAAGACATAAAGCAATCAGGAGAATGCTATTGTGGTATGGCTGTCTATTATAAAGTGCTTAAAGTTCTTAACATGTTGCCAATGGGTACCAAAGACTTACGAGGATGTTTAAACACTCCAAATATGAAAACACTAATTTACCAGTTAATACAAGCAGACTTGCTATATAAGTTAATGAATTTTTATAATTTATGGCTCTTCTCCAAAGGGTGGCTCAGGGGAGGCAGAGGCCAGTCTGGGTACACAGGATAGCCAGAACTACACAGAGAAACCCTGTCGTGAAAAACAATACAAAATCAAAAACCAAAACAAAATAAAATAATTTATGACTTCTACAATTGAGAAGATAGTAATAGCTTAATATAAAAACAAAAACTCTCAAATCTTTCCTCAAAACGTGTAAAAGGTGTCATGCTAGAGTGCTTGCATGCACTAAGCCCTGGGCTCAAGGACTAAGACTACCACCAAAAAGAGAGAAAAGGCCACAGTTCTGTGCAAAAAGGCACAAATCAAAATCTAACCTAGTATAAGAAAAAAAAAAAAAAAAAATCAATGGGTAGCAAGAGGTTTACTGTAACTCATTCAACTTTAAAAGACACAAGACAGCCCTTATTTGCTTTCCCACAATCTTGAAAGAAATCACATCAGCTCAGTTGAATGGCTAAGAGCTGTTAAAGGTTGAACATCCCCAGCATGAAAATGTCAAATTCAGACATGATAGACAAAAACTAGGATTTCTGGATCTTCATATTTTAAATTAGAGATGCTAAACAAGTAATGCTTATTTACTCACAGACTCTCCAATTCAGAAACTTCAAATTTTGAAACATTTCTGGTTTAAAGCATTTTAGATAAATACAAGCTATTGAATTTGTATTATTTCTATTAAAATGGTCTTGCATGGTAATTTTTTGTTTGCTTGTTTTTGTTTTCCAAGACAGTGTTTCTCTGTGTAGCATTGGCTGTCCTAGAACTCACTATGTAGACTAGGCTGGCCCAAACTCAGAGATCACCTGCATCTGCCTCCCAAGTACACTGGGATTAAAAGCACGCATCAAGACAGCCAAGCCCTACTAATCTTTTGATTGGCATTTTTCTAAAATGTGTTTGACCGTCTCATTCTTTCTATCTTCATGCCACTTAATATCTCTAATTGTTTTTTTTTTTAACTATTACATTTTAATTTATTCTGTGCGCCCCCATGTGCCACAGTATGACATGACATGCTATTAGAGGTCAGAGGACAACTTTTGGGAACTGGTTTTTGTCTTCTACCTTGTGGGTCCCTGGACTGACTGCCACCATGCCCAGCTTGCATTGTAACATTCTTTAAAGGCAAAAATTTCAAAATTCCTATGCCCAGAACCACTTTAATAGCATCTTCAAGTCATATTTCCTTCAGGCTGGAAATTGAGCTTCAAAAACATGCACTATTTCTGATGCCATTCATACCTCCTCAGTTTCTCCCGTTCTTCTCTCTCCCTCTCTTCTCTTCGTTTCAGACGTTCCTGGTTTCTTTTCTCCTGCTTCTCAGCTACAACTCTCTGTAAAATAATAATAATTTAAAAATCAGTTGTAAATTTATTGGGCAAATCTTTAAGTATCTTTACCTTAAACTGTATGTTTTCCCATATAATACAATTAACATAACTTAAAATTTTGTCAGGTACAATTATTAGACTTCCAAGATGGCTTTCCATAATTGTAGAAAACATGTAAAACTTCACGTTTCACCATTACTTGTTTTTTTCCAAGCATGCTGAGCTCCAGCCCCACCCACAACATTCCTTATTGACATTTAAAAAAGAAATCACATCTAAAGGATAGAGAAATGGTTCAGAGGTTAAGAGCACTGACTACTCCTCCAAAGGTTCAGAGTTCAATTCCCAACAACTACATGATGGCTCACAACCACCTATAAAAAGATCTGATGCCAAGCCGGGCAGTAGTGGCACATGGCTTTAGTCCCAGCACTCAGGAGGCAGAGGCAGGTAGATCTCTGTGAGTTCGAGGCCAGCCTGGTCTACAGAGTAAGTTCCAGGACAGGCTCCAAAGCTTTACAAAGGAACCCTGTCTGGAGAAAACCAAAAAAATAAAAGATCTGATGCCTTCTTCTGGAATGCAAGCAAACATAACAACTGTATACATAATAAATCATAAAAAAATTTGCATCTACATGATCTTCCCTCTGTTTCTCACCATTATAATACCTTTTAAACAGAGTCTCAATACTGTTGAATCAGAATAAACACTACTATTCAAAAACTAACTCTAATTACAGTAGTAGGCAGGCTAAGACAAGAACTTTCAGTAGTTCAAGACCAACCAGAACTACACAGCAAGACCTTGTCAATGAAATCAAAAGAAAACTGATAGAGTAAATAGAGTGAGCGATATTAATTTACACAATGTACCTTTAATTCTTCAAGTTTCTCTCTTATTTCAATAAATCCCAGGTGCAGTTTACCCCCAAAATGATCAGCAAGTCGCCTGTCATTATCATGAAGACCTAAATATGCAGAACAGACTTCACAGACTCGAAGTTTCTGCTGCTGGAAACTGGAAGCTGGCATAGAATTTCGATAAACTTCCTAAACAAAAGTGAGAAAAACAATGATCACACAAATGTCCTTAAAAGTTCTCTAAGAAAAATATACTATATATGCATACAAAAATGTTGTTCTAATAACTCCTTTGAAAGAGAGCTCTATTGAAGGTCAAAGCTTCACCTATCCTTTACTCCCCCCATCAGCAAGACAATAGATGAATTGTTAATCTTCATCACAATTCTGATGACTTATTCCCAAACCTTACATGGTGTTCATCAATGAACAATACACAGAGGTAAATTTATCAATCTACTATCCTCTTTTCCTTTACTAAGATAATTCTGTTTTCCACATATGTCTATATACATGAATGTGGACCCACATGTCAGTTATGTATTTATGTACACACAAGTATACACACACACACACACACACACACACACACACACACACACACATATATGAATTTAAAAATATTATAAAGGTGGCGCACACCTTTAATCCCAGCACTCGGGAGGCAGAGCCAGGCAGATCTGTGAGTTCGAGGCCAGCGTGGTCTACAGAGCAAGATCCAGGACAGGCTCCAAAAGCTACAGAGAGAAACCCTGTGTGGGGATGGTGGTGTGTGGGGTCAGGGAGTGGATTACAAAGGGGATGGAGAGGTGGCTTAGTGGTTAAGAGCACTGGCTACTCTTCCAGAGGAACTGGGTTCTATGCTTAGCAGCTAAATGGCAGCTTAAAACTATCACAACTCCAAACCCAAGGTATATGCATACTGCAGTGAAGGGGGGAGGATATAAGCTCAGTGGCTGAGTGTTTGCCTTGTACTTAAATGAAGCCCCAGGTTCAACCCCAAGGGAAAGGATGTGAAAATAACTAACATGCATTCAATGCAGTAGGCCTTTCTCTTTCTCCAGCTAATATTTTCTTGATGTCTTAGGGTCATCACTATGATATAGGTATTATATAGGTGCTGTAAGGAGCAATGACGAGTTTTTCCTTTTATCCTCCTCCTCCTTCTCAATTTGTCTTCTTCCGGTACTAAATACTAACACTGAGACTACAAATATGCTAAAGAAGTTACTACAATTGCTTCTTTCTGCTCTGCTTCTCCACACTAGTATGAAGAACAGAAGTAGTAGAACAGGATAGAAAAAGAGAAAAAAAAGAGAAAAAGAATATGTATGTACTTAATGTGGGAACCCAAATTACTCAGGATCAGAGAATCTTAGCTTACTTTACCCAGCAGGGCTGCATAAAGAGATGATTTGGTCACAGGTGTGTTTACCAGGTGTTTGGAAGGGTCTACACCTGGCTGTACAGTGTGCTTTGATCTTGCAAGGGGGAAGTCTTTTGCCTCTCCCCTTGGCATTGTTATAAAAAGCCCTTTTCAATAAAGGACAAGGCTGTTGGTATTGATCCAGGCCCTCCCAAAGCTATCCCATGTTTCTTTCTTCTTGTCAGCTAGGTCTCTCTATCTGATATTTCCTCATTCCTCTCTCCTCCACCTAAGAACCCTTTAAAAGTGGGAGCTGGACTCCCACAACTCAATATCAGTTTGAATGATAGGGCTTCCTTTTTAATCTTGTCACAACAGATCCTGCCATCTTTTTCTTTATTTCAAGACAGGGTCTCAATAGATAGGTCGGTTTTGTTCTAAGAATGAAAATATTTTAAATTGAGGTTTAAAAACTGAAAAAAAAAAAACAAAAACAAAAAAACAAAAAACAAAACAAAACCAAAAACTGCCCAGAGTTGAAAAGCTAAAGATCATCATGAAGCAGTCTAGATGTCATCAGTTAAGGCCAACAGAAACAATAGCAAAAGACTGCATATACCAAATACATCTGAATTTCTACATATGGGGGGGGGGGGGTAATACCAATCAAAACAGAATTTGTTTACATGATGTTACGACTTTTGGCTTCTGTCATAACATTAGAATGAGAGAAGGCCCCTAAGAAATTAGCAGATTTATATTGTTACGGTAAGTAAAACTGATGAGGAAAAGGGTAGGTAGCACAGTGTATATAGGTGGGTTTTTTTAATGTGGGTAATTGGTTTAATGACATTTATGAGTTATAAATTTCAATATAGCTTTGACACCAATTTTCTAAAACCACTTTACAACAGACCCAACATTAAAACAGCTAGTACTTAAATATTCCTAAATTGATTTAAATTTTCTTTAATAAAATTTTGAATATTTTCCAGTTAAATATATATTTACCACTATTAAGAACTTATCTCTTGCTGGGTGACAGTGGTGCACGCCTTTAATCTCAGCACTAGGGAGCCAAGTGGATCTCTGTGAGTTTGAGGCCAGCCTGGTCTACAGAGTGAGTTCCTGGACTGGAACCAAAACTACACACAGAGAAACCCTGTCTCCAAAAAAAAAAAAGAAAGAACTTATCTCTTTCCAAGACAGTTGTGTCTCAAAACAGAACAAAAAAAAAAGGAAAGGGAATTTTACCTCTGCTTCTCTTTTCTTTGCCCGTGCTTTCTCTACTTCATCCATTACTTTTTGAGATTCTTCCACATTTCCTTCAGCTCCTAGTTGTTCCACTTTGGCCAACAGTTTACCTATTTCTTCATTTAACTCATGAACACGTTCTGCCTAGGAAAACAAAAGAGAAGATCATGAATGAAAAGCTAAAAAGATGACTCAGCAGTTAAGACCACTGGCTGCTCTTCTAGAGAACCTGGATTCAATTCCCACCACCCACATTGTAGTTAAAAACCATGTGTAACACCAGTTCCAGGAAAGCCAATGCCCTATTCTGGCCTCCACAGGTACCAGGCCCGTGTATAGTGCACAGACATACATGCAGGCAAAACATGCATATACATATAAAAAAAAATCAAAAGGAGCATAACAATGTATTTCAGAAACTCATAAAAGTCCCAATGAAGATCCATTTATGAAGCACGACAAGTCTCGCTACAGTCTAGGCTGGACTCCATTCCTAATCCTCCTTCTTGTGCCCAAGTACAAGTATACATCACCACACTCAGAAATGAAAGTTTAACTTAATAGAAACATAAAATCTTAACAAAGTAGTATTCCAATAATATTTACTTCTTAAAGTGTCCCCAATGCAAGACATTCCTTTTCTCAAGGGTTCTAACTCTTTTATGACTATTCTTTCATAAATGTGTTTTCTTTCAATTATCACTGAAAGATTGTATTAATAGCCAAAGATCAATTTTCCTGCATCTGCCCCCTCAAAATTGTACTTTGACTCTAAACTTATGCACACATTTCCTTTGATTATGGCAATGGAGGAGAAGCTTGTCCTAATAAACAGCTTGAAAAACATTGCATAACTGTGTATGACGCTTCTGTCTCTCTTCAACCACTAAAAACATTATTAGCCTAGCCCTCAAGGAATGGCTCAGTAATCTCTAAGGTGGCAGCAGCAGTTCTATATGCAAAATAAAAGCCTCAGTAACCCATTTAAAAAAAAAAAGAAAAGAAAAAAAACATGACTAGCCTAGCCCTCAAAGAATGGCTCAGTAGCCTCCAGCTGACTATAAAACATGTGCCAGGACATCCCTGCTGACACAAGAGTACTGTGCAATCTACCTGATCTATTACATGCAGTGACATGAGTCACTGAATTTGAGGTCATTAGCTTACTTCTTCTGCAGTGATTGATGACCAATGTAATAGGGCACAACCAATACAGGTCTACAGAACCTAATCACTTGTAGATGGCTTAACCATGATACATGATCCCTTATATCAGTGGTTCTCAACCCTCCTAATGCTGCCTGTCACCCTTTAATACAGTTCCTCATATTGTGGTGACTCCCAAATGTAAAAGTATTTTCATTGCTACTATAGTGCAACTATAGTGGTAGCTACGCAAGCTTATGTATGTTAAAAGCAAAAGAATCAGGGACCAAAGAGATAGTTCAGTGGTTAAGAGCACTTGCTACACTTATACAGGACCCAGATTCAGTACCTTGCATCCCTATCATGGGGTCCACAACTGTAACTCCAGTTTCAGGGTTCTAATTCACTCACTTAGAATGACATGGGTACCAGGTATGCACATGTTGTACACACATAACCAAAAGCAATAAACACTCACACACATAAAAATAAGTCTTTAAAAGGGGGGAAAAAAAGACAAGCAGTGGTAGCACATGCCTTTAATCCAAACACTTGGGAGGCAAAGGCAGGGGTTATCTGGAGTTCAAGATAAACTCACAGATAAACTAAAACTAAATAAAGGTGCTATGCATATATTTATTATATGCAAACGAATGCATGCATGACTGGCAAATTCTGAATAAAATATAATTATCAATATTACTTTGTTATACTAGTTTTTAACATTTGAGTAGGTAAAAAATAATCCACAGAATTCTCTACTTACATTTACAATCTAATTATTGAAAAATAAAAAAGCTGGAATGAGCCAGGCATGGTGGCATATGCTTTTTATTATTATTAATTCTAGCACTCAGAGGCAGAAGCAAGTAGATTTCTGTGAATTCAAGACCAGCCTGGCCCTATACAGTAAGTTCTAAGCCAGCAAGAGGCTACACAGTGAGACCATGACTCAAAAACACCAAAAAGGGGGGCGAAATTGGAGTGAATAAAATGGGTTACAAACATACTTTATAGTCCTAGCACTCATGAGGCAAGAGGCCGAAGTAGGCAGGTCTCTGTGAATTCAAAGCTAGTCTGGTCTACAGAGTGAGCTCCAGAACTGCCAAGGCTACAAAGACAGACCCTATCTCAAACAGTAACAACAAAAACAAAATAAAACAAAAAACTTACGTTTGGAACTAATGAAATGACTAAAATTCTTACCTTTGCTGCGACTTCAGCACTTATCTCCTCTTGAGTTTCTGCTAATCTTTTCTTAGACACTTCTGTTCTTCGATCACAATCTGCAATGAATGACTGTAGATGATCCATGGCCTGGAAAATTTAATATAAAACAATTATTGACACAAAGTCAATGTATCCAGAAATGTCTTCACTAAACACTATATTCTGGGTTAGGGGATGAAGCCCTAAGTACAGAAATGCTTTCCTACTATGTAGGAAGCACCGGGTTCAATCTGCTCTACTCCTCCCTGCAGCTCACCCCTAAAACAAGAAAAACACAAAGCTGAGGAATTGTTAGTGACAGAACACTTGCCTAGCATGTGTGAGGGCCTGGTTTTCAAGTAATTATAAAAAAAAATTAATTAAAAGAAGTCCAGAGGAAAGAATCTTTAAAAACTTCAAAACAATAATTTTAAAAATTTTCATTCTTAAAAATGTTATCATAGAGCGGGGGTGGCGCATGCCTTTAATCCCATCAGTAGGGAGGCAGAGGCAGGCAGATCTCTAGGAGGCCAGCCTGGTCTACAGAAAGAGTTGTAAGACCACCAGTACTACACAGAGAAACCTTGATTCCTAGTATCCACACGTGGCTCACAACTATCTGTAACAGCAATGCTAGATTATGATGCTGTTTTCTAGCCTCAATGGATACCAGGTATGTGCCTTATAAATTCTCACACACACATACACACACACACTCTCTCTATTCAAACATATAAAATAAATCAAAAAATTAAAAATGAATAGCAGAAGAAACCATAGATGAGAACTATTTTCAGGTCAAAATAGAAAAGATCTTGCAAACTTAAAATAGGTATTATAAACACTGATTAGAGAGTATAACTAAAAATACTATCTAAAGGCAAAAGTCACCTGAAGAAAAATAAAATAGAAAAGTATATTTATAAGCATGCTTGAGGGAAAGGACCAATTTTCATAATTTTTAAGAAGTTAATATGGGAGCTAGACAGAGCTCAGAGGTTTAGAGCACTGACAGCTCTTCCAGAGGTACTGAGTTCAATTCCCAGCAACCACATGGTGGCTCACAACCATCTGCAATGAGATCTGATACACTCTTCTGGCATACAGGCATACATGCTGGCAGAACATTACATAATAAATAAATAAATCTTTTTTAAAAAAAAGTTAATATAAGTCAACTAGAAAACTGGTAACACTCAAGTTTAGTCAACTCAGAACAGCTGCCATTATACATGATCTTAAATACATTCAGAGCATTCACACTCACTTCACCCATAAAAAATGCAAATTGAAACTCCATTCATATTCTACATTTAGTTTATCAACAGAGACTAAAAATGTCTTGATAACACCATGTAGCCCACAGTAGGAAAGTCCAATGTATTGCTTAGAAATAGTAAAACTTTCAAAAAGAGCAATTAAGCATTATGTGTAAAAATTACCTCTTGGCTCAGCTACTTTTCACCAATAATGCAGAAAGACTGAAAATAACCTCAATATCCAACCACAATGTTCAACAGTTCTATTGTACCTTATGGCCAGACAGTATTAAAGTATTTTTATACATAATTTTCATTTCCATAAGCAAAAGTTCTTGGATGGTCAAGAGAATCAGAAGGGCCTATATACTGCTATCTTCAACTAAATAAAATTACCTAATTTCACTGATAAAGAGCACCATTAGACTTTTACTGATCATTATGTCTTATGTACATCTATTTCATAAAAATGCAAAGTTTAAAAGATGGTGTATTCTTTAAAACATTTTGTATAATTTAATTTATATCTATTTTTTAAGCTATTTATTTCATATGAATGCTTTGCCTGCATATGTATTTATATGTACCATGTGTATGCAATGTGCCTGCAAACATCAGAAAGAGGGCATAATACCTCCAGAACTGGAATTATACTTTGTGAGCAAAAATGTGAGTGATAGGAGTTATACTTGGGTTCTCTGCAAAAACAAGTGCTCTTAACCACTGAATGATCTCTTCAGTCTCAAGTTTCTCTATTTTTATAGAAGAAATGCTTCTATATAAAGGACAATATTAAATCACATTTGTAACTCTGATACCTAAACAGTATTTTCTATTTCTTTTACTATTTTACATTAAAAACATGGACCTGAGGCTGCAGGGGTAGCCTCGCAATATACAGTGCTTTCCTACTAAGAATAAGGCCCTGTATTTCATCCTGAACTAGAGAGATCTAGCTAGTGATCTATTAATACAGTAGAAGTATCTATTAATGGAAAAATTCAAGAATTTTTTTTTTCCGAGACTTTAAATACAACAAAAATGGGTGGCTTACATTTGTTGAAACTGCTACTTTCTTTTCTTTTCTTTTCTTTTTTTTTGGTTTTTCGAGACAGGGTTTCTCTGTGTAGCTTTGCGCCTTTCCTGGGACTCACTTGGTAG